AGCTGTCTTGGGTGTGGACCAATCAACTTCAAGGACAGTGCACATTATCACAGTTATGTCTTTTGTTTGTATTATGACTGCAGGTATTGCGGTCTATGCAAACATGACTCCTTGTAAAAAGGTGTCAGTTTTGTTGCCAGATAGAAGGATAAAAAAATAATTATCAACGTTATGGTGGTTAAGTTAACTCTTGGCCCATTCTGCTGCTTAACTAAGGTCAGTTGTAACCCTGACGCGACGTGATAAAACGCCGAGAGTGGAAGCAGGCGGAACACATTATCCCTGCGGAGGTGTGGCGGTGGGTGGCTCAACACTGAGCGCGATGTTGTGTGGGCTGCGCCATCTCTTCCTCAGTGCGTACCAAAACAACGACATCAACGAGTTTGAGAAGATCCTCAAAACGAACCGTAGCAACATCATGGACGACCCCTTCATACGCGAGCACATTGAGGGTACGGTGTAAAGTGCTGGACTTGGAAGTGCCAGGCATGCATGCTGTAAACATTGTACTTGATCAGACTAAACCTTTCTGTTCTACTGAATAGATTTCAACCAGTGCACTTGATTGGGCTATAACAAGTCACTGGATTGATGACACCCATGCAATAGACTTGATTCACGTACGTCAGTTGACTGCAACAATGTACAAGACTAGATTAACAATACTCTGGACTGGATGAGACGGAACATACACTGGATGAGGCTACTATAAAGCACTGAGTCAGGACCAAATTAATTCACTAGGTTGGACTCTCACAATGTTCAACATCTTTGGCCATTGTTAACTGAACCTCGCTGGCCCTTTCCTAGCTTCTATCAGTTCCCATAGTTTGTAATTTAAAGCGGCACTATTTTAGGGGGGGGGGGAAATCACGAACATGACAGGGCATCGGTTCAGTGGCCTGCAAAATGTTGCGCAAGCATGTGCGGTGCTGGTCGAACCACCACTCTACCTTGTGCCGTGCCAGCCTAAGCGGATGCTGTAGTTGCTACCGCTGAAGTGCACCGAACTGGGACGTATCTATGGCAAGAATAATATCTCGGTGCCAGACGAGGGAAGAACTACACGTAAATCCATTGTAATTGAGCGGTGCATTATTACGCACATGACAAAAAACAGGAGTTGGTGGCAACCCTAGTGGACAACTGCTAAGTGAACCCTGCCTGTACATTCTCAGTGGGGCTCACGTGTGAATGTGCTATCGTTTTCGTCACACAGAGCTGCTGAGGAACATCCGCACGCAGGTGCTCATTAAGCTCATCATGCCGTACACGCGCATCCATATCCCCTTCATATCCAAGGTAAGCAAGCGACTGATCATAAAGCAGGGGTAGGGAACCTATTGTTTGTGACTTTATTTCATGTGGCTCGCATGCAAAGATATTTGAAAAACCAAGCTAGCAACACTGTTTACATTTAGAAACACTTGAGCACCAATTGGATTCATACTACTCGTGGATAATGTTGAAGTGTGCGGGATTGTGTTGCCAGTCAAATGTATTTGAAAATCTTATTTGGTCCTCAGTAATTCAGTAAGGAAATGATTCTCCACTATTGTCTTAAAGCCTTGTCTAAATGCTTACTTTAGGTGGGTTATAGGTTAAATTAAGGTCACCTCCAGACATTTTTTAAGAACAATACATTTTTGACATATCAAGTAATATGTGAAACCAGTTCTGGACCATCCCCTGATCAGAGTACTGACGTATACTCAAACAAACCCCAATAAGATAATTGTTTTTTTACCCTTTTATCTGGCAACAAAGCTGACACCTTTTTTACAAGGAGTCATGTTTGCATAGACCACAATACCTGCAGTCATACTGCAAACAAAACCCCAATAACCAACACGGTGTGGAAGGCCTTCATTGACCAGTGGTTTGAAGAAGGGCTGTAAATTATACATCATTATTTACTGTACTTAAAATATCACATTTTCTGTAGCATTAACGGTGGGAGGATGTAATTCAACAACGGAACCCATTAAAGCTGATGGATTTGTTAAGAACACATACATCACGAGTGATAGATTCTGAACGATGTTGTCTCTCCGCTTGGACTTGCAGGAACTGAATATTGACGTGAGTGACGTGGAGAGCCTCCTGGTGCAGTGCATCCTTGACAAGTGAGTGTTGCTCTCACCCACGTAGTTCTATCCCTGACCGCCACCGTCCAAATTTTCTCCTAAGGCAAGCTCCTAGAGCTAGTCAAAACCTCCTGCTGCTGTGAGCCATCAGGACCTCGTGTGAATTGGAGGCAAGCACTTGTACAGCATCTTGACACGTGGCCACATTAAGACGCTTAATTCTAATTCTACGCGCCGAGCGCGCGTGTACGAATGTGCGCGCGATGTTGATGGTTTGTGTGTTTGTGTATCTACACCCATATGTGCACTGACTGCGTTGCGCCTCTTCCACCCTCAGCACCATCAATGGCCGGATTGATCAGGTGAACCAGCTGCTGGAGCTTGACCACCAGAAGCGTGGCGGCGCTCGCTACGCTGCGCTGGACAAGTGGACCAACCAGCTCAGCTCGCTGCACCAGGCTATCGCCAGCAAGTTGGCATGACTGCCTGCCCACCCGCTTGCCCATATGTCCACTGGACCTATTTCCCCTGCAAGTTGATCCTGAGATTGATGGCCCCTGCTTGGAGCGACGAGTTGCATCGCTTTCCTCGCCCAGCCTCGTCGCAATGCCTTGTTTTCATGTCCCGTGCCTGACGCATGAACTTGGAAAGACATCAAAAGAGAACAGGTGCCACCATTGGGGGGGGCCCCTGTTGCTCTCCTTGCCCACGGTTTTGTCTTTCACATCCACCAATTGACTCTGGGACAAATTGATGCGTGCTTGTGGAGTTGCTGATGGTGTGAGATGCCGCGATGAGCTGGCTGGATGTCTGTTGATTGGTAGATGTGGAAAGCTGAGTCGTGGGTACGCCTTGGTGTCAATATTGATACAGAGAAAAGGCTCACATGCTGGGAAGACACTGAGTACTTGCCAACTTCTGAGAGACGGGGTATGACCATGCGTTGCAAATTACTGAAGACTCAACATCCCTTTAAACTCCAGTGTCTCTAACAATGCTTCTGCCCTGGTTGCATTAATAATTTGGCACGTCAAAGTAAAGGTGGCAAATATAATTATTTTAATGATTTTCAGCGGTATTGAGGTGATTTGTGTCCAAGCCACATAATTGCTTTAATTCGTTTTCCACGCAGATGATCGCATTATTGTGCGGGAACTCATGGCGATACATATATGGTATGAAATGTATAACATGTCGGTGTCCACATATGTAACAAAGCATTTAGCAAAGTACGGCAGTAATTTATAATGACCATTGACTTGTAAACTGTGAGTAGAGTGGTGGCATTGCATCAAACGCCGTGTTGGAATTACCAAAATGTATATGGGTGGCTCATGTCAGGATTCTTGAGAAGTTGGAGCATTTTGTTGGGCATGCATACCCCTCTTACCGCTGTTGTAGATAAAAGTGTTTTGTAAAGTTTGCGGTCGCCTTGTTTATGTTTTCACAAGTTGGATGGTGGGGTCGGCGTGTTAGTGGTGTGGTTCTTGACAACACATTTCGTCACGTTTGATTAGGGTTCCCACCTGGCCTGGTGTACCCAGGATAACATTTTTTTTTTAGATAGATATCCTGGGAATATCTACGTCTTTCTGGGTTAATAAAAGTCTTGGCTTTTGTCAGTTGGCTATAATACTCAAAGCAATGCATATGTAGTTCTTTACTCTTGAGTATTGTAAGATATATTGTTCCAATGGCACATCTCAATTTGTTTTGTATATCTCAGAAGTGGTAACCCTAAATCAGCGTGCAATATCTGGTGAGCACGTGACGGCCACCTTAACACCGTGTCCTGATTGGTGGAAAACTGCAGAGGTCCATGTGAGACTAAAGGCCTGGTAAGGGATTGGCTGCAGGCTGCTGCGTTTGCAGCAGAGTACATACTGTCGATGTTAGACTTGGACATTTGTTACTTAATGCCAGGCGGGAGCCCACTGAGGTGCAGATATTTTACTGTGGGGGCAGTCCTGGCAAAGATTATTTAATTGAGGCAGAAACCTATAGCCCTGACCTGAATGCAGACTTTGTTACCCAATAAATCACATTTGTTAACGAGCAGGATTCTGTTGGCTCACGTTTTTTTAAATTAATATCGATTCTTAAGTTCAAGGATACACTCATATAATATTTCATCTCCTGGCCACCTCACCACCCACGGTGGCGAGATGTTAACGCGACCGCGCCGTGTATGCAGGAGGTCGTGGATTTCATCTCAACCCTTGACGCCTGTTGTATATTTGGAGTGTGGATTTTTCTCCGGGTCCTCGGGTTTTTCCCCCTCCACATTTCGGATCAACTTTCGCTTAAAAGACCATTTGGCTGCCAGAAATGTCCACGTGACAAGCCACTAAGTTGAGCTATCATTTGTGGCCAGGCCACTTTTGAAAAGAGAGCTATGTAGCCTTACATGGTAAAATAAGTATAACCCGTAAAAACAAAGTTTTTCACTATAAATCCTTTATATGCGTGGCGGCTAGAGTCATCTCGTCCTCTGGCTTGAGATGGCTGCCACCTATGGGTCAGATGATTGTCTGCCAGTATTAAGCAATTGGTAATTAAATATTTAATTTGTTTTCCCTAAACAGTGTAAAATTTTGGAAAAAAAAAATCACGAACATTAATTGTCTCGCACAACGAGTCTGTGTGCAAAATGTCAGCTCGATTGGATCACGAGAAGTGGGTTAAAACACGACCGAAAGGTTTGCACGCAAGCAAGCAAGCGAACTTAATATAAAGGATTTAATAAAATAGTTTGTAAATTAGATTATCCTAATCACTTCCGAGTTCAACTCGTGAAAGGGGGTAAAATACGACGTCGAAATAATGTCGACCTGGCGTCCATCTTGCTCAGGGACGATTCCCATTAAAACCGCGTGGAGGAGTCGAAATCTCTATGACGTCACAGGGGGTGATGACGCTTCCCCTTAGTAAGATGGCCGCTCGTCGCGATGTCTAAAACAACCACAGCGGCTCTCCCTGCGCATCATGGCGGTCGCCACGGTCGCTGGTTGAACGCCGCTACCGCGAAGGCTTGAGGAGGTGGCTTTTAATCGGCAGCAGCAGCAGCAGCATCGCCGAGCCGAGCCCCAGCGACAAAGAGCCATGTCGCTGCGACTCGCCGACAAGATCAAGGTATGGGGGAGGCTGCATTTGATGCCCGGGAACGAGTTGAGGTACGGGCCCGCAGGCTTTTTACGGCGTTGCCTGAATTCGCTGCGGAGTTTTAGCGCTCGCGATCGGCGGGCCTGGTACGGTAATGGGGGGGGGGGGGGGGGGTCGTGAGTGGGTTAAAGAAGTCGTGTGTCGCTAACGCAGGTAATGCGTGGAGACAGGTACGGTGTTGTGGCGTTGTACGAAATGTTAGTGCGTACGTAGGATGGCTGTTTCGTAGAGAGAGAGATGATTAGGATGTACGGGAAGTGAAGCGTTGTTGTGTTGGGGGTGAAGGGCACAGGTAGCAATGGAGGTCTTCTCTTTCGGGGTGGCGTGTGTAGCGATGGAGCGTGTTTTGAGTGTGTAGGGGTGGTGTGTGAAGGGGTGGTGTGTGTTAGCATGGTGTAGTAACTCAAGGTGTGTGTGTACTGGGATTGTCTATGTATAGGGGTGGTGTGTGTAGCGATGGAGAGTGTTGTGAGTGTGTAGGGGTGTTGCGTGAGTGTGTAGGGGTGGTGTGTGTTAGCATGGTGTAGTGACTGCAAGGGGTGTGTGTACTGGGATTGTCTATGTGTAGCGGTGGTGTGTGTAGCGATGGAGAGTGTTGTGAGTGTGTAGGGGTGTTGCGTGAGTGTGTAGGGGTGGGGTGTGTTAGCATGGTGTAGTAACACAAGGGGTAGTGTGTGTGTGTAGGGGTGGTGTGTTAGCATGGTGTAGTAACTCAAGGGGTGTGTGTGTGTACTGTGATTGTCTATGTGTAGGGGTGGCGTGTTTGTGAGGAGCGGTGGGGTGGCGGTGAGCGCACTGCGCTCACGGGACCACAACCAGTGACGATTATCTGAATCGGTCCTGGGCCTCCCGTAGGTAGACTTAGCCTCAAATGACTACCTCGTACGGCGTGTAAACATCGCCACTGGGGAGACAAAGGCGGCCGGGTGTGGTGCTGGCCACCCACCCCCTCGTGTGCCGTGCCGGCCTTTATAGGTGCTCGCTAACATCAATTTTCCCAGTCTTTTAAAGCTATACGGGGGATCTTTGTCTGAGTGGTGTATGGAGATGTGTATTTGGGTCAGTCTGTAAGCTGAAATATTATTCTGGAAACCGTACATGTTAATGTCAAAACTATATGAACTCTGTCATCTAATTTTGACCCCCGAATAATAATCATAACAGTAAAAAGATAGCTAGCACCTTCCACAATACATTATTGCAATGTAATTTAGAACCTATAACAGTTAAAATGTGTGAAACAACTATTTGAATTCACATTGAAACCAAAACGTTATCTGTAAAACTGTGATTTTTAAATACACGAAACATAGCAATTAAGAAACTTAGAATATTCTTAGGTTTTTTCGGTTAATATTAATAAAAAGTGTGCCTTACATGGCCCTTCCCCCCTCCAACCATTATATATACGGAGTGGTAGCTCTTGTAATCTCTCATTTACTTGATACAGCTGTCGTGGCTGTGACGGTTCCACCTGAAGACGGAAGCTTGTGTTGCCTCCGAAACGTCGTGATTTGTATTTTTGTTTTATTTTACTTTTATTAATTTTAATGTTTTACCTACGTGACTTTACCGAAAAAAACCTAAGAATATGAATCCTTGCAGTCACGAAAGCTTCAAATCTAAAACTGTTAGAAGAAAGAACAAGCCTCATGATTTGACTGAAAAACATTGTTTGGCTCTGACTTAGATTGGCTTGAACAGTGAATTCCAGAATTCAGATCTAGAAACACAGTCACTGTGTGTCTCCCGTGATGTCTCCAGAGGGAAAAGTGGTAATCCAATGTTTGACGAGATCACTAGAATGTAGAGAACAATGAGTTCTGAAAGATACGTTTGTGCCAAGTCTTTAATCGCCTTAATTGGGGCGCCACGGTGGCGAGATGTTAACTCCCTCGCCTGGTATTCATGGGGTCGTGGGTTCGATCCCGACCCAGACGCCTCCTGGACATTTGGGGTTTGCGGTGTCTCTCTCCACGTGGTCGCGTGGATTTTTCTCCGGGTCCTCTAGTTTCCCCCCCCCCATATTTATAATCATCATCCGTTTGGAGTATTTGTTTTATAAATTTCCACATGATAAGCCACTTCGTTAAGCTATCATTGGTGGCCAGGCTGCTTCTGAAAAAGCGCGATATTGCTCAGTGGACCTTACTTGGTAAAATGCATAAAAAATAGTTTTAATTCAGAAGCAAAACCTCTCTTTAAAAAAGGCTTTTGCTCCCTGTGGACTCATAATAGTGATTATAATAACTATAAAAACCTCTGTCCTGTTCTGAGTGAACTCCCCCTCATGTTCTGTCAGTCATGCGAGTTATTCGACTATACTTCACCATCCTGGTCAGTGTAGGTTGGTGAAAGGGGGAGGGCCAGGAATGTTGTAGATGTCACTTGCCACTGATGATGGGAAGTGTTTTCACTGACACGTATTGACTTTCATCATTATCAAGCATGCACCATTTTCTTAAACATTTGCTGCTTGACAATATTGACTGTTTACTGGTTCAGATACAGTCATCGCTTGATTATACAGGTGGATGTGGGTGTGTGAGGGGGTGACCCGAATAAAAAAAAAACCACATTTATATTGCAAAACACATGTAATTTATTAAGCTATACAAATATATGTATTGCCTACCAGTGTAGATTGGGCCCGAAGAAGCAAAATTTTACCGTTTTTATTGTTAATCAAAGTAATCGGTTTACTTCATGATGTGGCAGTTGGGAGCTCTAAGTTAGTGACATCGACGAGTGAAGAGCAGCTAATGATTAAACCAGCGCTTACGTGATAGGCAGATGCAGAGGAGGACGTTCAATCCGCGACCCAGGTTATCTACCCACGGATAACCCAGAGTTAATTACTTACAGCTCTCCATTGTGTTTTCGGGTTGTACCACGTGTTGTTTGGCATAATGTCTGACGTTTTCAAACCCAGCCCTACAATAAAACATTGTTCATCATGGCGGGAAAAAAACGAGGTTTCAACCAAAAACACTCATTCGAGAGCTGGTGCAGCACGAGCGTGAAAATCAAACGCAGTATTTGTACTCGTCATAGATTTGTCCTTGCGCGAGATCGTGATGGTGCCTCACGAAACAGCCTTGCCTCTGTTGCCCCCAGGATAGCCGCCTCTCGGCCGAGGTGGAGCCTTTCGTGCCGGCGGGGCTGGTGGTGTCGCCACCACGGCTGGGGGATGTTCACGGTGGCGTGGAGGCCGTCAGTCTCGCTGCCGGGATGGAAAGGCCGCAGCACAGAATGCTGCCCAGCTACCAGCCCGACTACTACCCCTATGTGCAGCACCACCCTTCTTCACCTGCCGACGGGTACGGTAGGAGAATGGAGCTCGGAGGTTTTTTTGTGTGCACAACCCCGCAGGTCAGATGGGTTGCAAGTTCTAATGCCGGGAGGGGGGTCGATTCGGTCGTTGGTCAGTCCAAGGAGGGACTCAGGCCCGGTGGCTCAGGAGTTGGAGTTTTGAGCTCGCACTGCTGAGATACTGGGTTAAAATCTGGGTTTCAGCCATCCGTGATTTAATGAAACTTAGCAGGTGTCTCAGCCTGATCTTCAATGGCTCCACAACATTATGCTCGTTTGGTTTTCACTTGAGTTGAATTGCAGCCCTGCAAATTAAAATAGTTGGTTTGATTGACAGCTGACTAACAATCTTCACGGAGCTTTGAACGTTGTGCCCCTAGTATTTCTCATGGGACGACACTGATGACACATTTAAAAGATAAAATTGGGTTAAAAGGCAAAACTAAGGTTACCGCTTTGTGGAAAGTGACCAGCAGTTGTCTTGTTGAAATACTTTCCCCTTGCCATACAAATGTGGAATTTCACCACTTACTCTTATGAGCACCGCTCTTTGCCCCTTTGAGCGGTTAACCACTTTGACATTTGAGTAGAGCTGTGTGCTTCTATGGGATTCTGCTGTGTCATTGTGCAATTAAAATACTGCTGTGTCATACTTGAATGTGTATGAATCATCATTGTTATTGTTTGCATGGGCATGTACAGCCCTGTGTCAATCTCCTGCTTGATAAGGGCCTCTGTGCTTTGTGGGTCATGGGGTAATTTGGCCATACTTCACCACACTGGTTAATGTGGCTTAGGGAAGGACCGTGGTCAACATAGATGCTTGGGTATAGAAGTACAGAAGAACAATGCATTTTGGTGCACTGCCATCTGCTGCCTACCACATTCCCACAGAAGCCTATAACAACCTTTAATGTGCATGGTTGTCACCCAATCCTGCTTAGCTTCTAAGATATGATTAGATTGGCTGTATTATGGGTGCTTTATTCATATGCATTCACATTTAACCTTACACTTATTTGTTTTGCAGCAGTTGACATACACCCAACGTAGAAAATGACCTCACTGAATAAGTTTATCTCTTGAATATTACTCTTAATATTGTTATCGTGATGCCAAATTTCCAAATGTCCAAAACATAAATGTAAATAAGCAGCCCTGCATTTGCTTACTTGCTGACTCACGCCACTCCTGGCAGAGCTGCCTCCACTATAGGGAGCTCGAGATGGTATTTGGTCTACTCTTCCATGCTGACCAGATGTGTTAGTAGAGGTGGTGTACCCAGACTTTACCCCACCATACGTGACCTGCTATTTATACTGCTGCATGGATAGAGGTGGGGGAATTTAAGAAACTTGCGCTCTTGTTTGAACTGTTATGCCAGGAGATCTAATCGAATCAAAACTGTCAACCTCTGAATCGGGCGTCCAGTGCGCTAACCACTACACTAAGCGAGCTCCTCCCGAAAGACCATTGAGAGATAAATATTCAAATTAGGTACTAAACCAGATGTGCTATTTCAAATACACATAAACACATGCATTTCAATTAATGAATCGAAGCATCGTGAAATAACATTTCTGTCTGTGCACGAACGATTATTTACACCTGCACCGCCCCCTCGCTGTACCCTCAGCTTGTGCGTGACGTACGATGCCGGCTATGACTGGCACCCGCCGCAGCAACCGTACTCGGACTACGGCCGATATGGCTACACCACGTACGCCGTGCGCTACGATCACAAGGACCCCAACAAGGGCGTCTACGCGGCTACGCCGACCGCTGGACCAGAGACGAACGCCCTGGGCTGTGGGAGCAGCGCCGCCCGAGCACCTGCGGCTTTGGCCTGTCAGGCGCCGAGCGTCCTGACACCCGACAAGACCGCCTTGAGGACGCCGAAGGCCGAGAGGTCACGGGGAAGAAAATCTGGCAGTCAGGGGTCGAAGGCGGAGGGCAAGGAGAGGTCCGCGGAGGGACAAGGCATTCCTGATCAGAATGGGACGGTGCCAGCCTCCCTACCCGAGGTTTGCCAAAGCACACCTCAGTGAGCTTCTGTTTGTGGATCTCTTACTGCTCACATGCAGCTTACTCTGTCCTCTGGTGGATGAATTGCTCCTTGTTTTGTCACAATTGTTTCTGTCTCTCTGCGATTTCTGCATATCTCTCTTGTTATCTAACCTTTTGGAACTATAATCCAACTGTTGTTTCTTCTGAAATTAAGGACTGGTGGTGATTACGATCACATTGTTGGAGTTTAAATATTTTGCTCGTTAAATTAACGGCAAGCGTAACTCAGCCTCTTGTTATGACTTCGCATTCCCAGTCGATAGCTTACACGTAATCATCCCCTTGTGTCAACGACACATGTGTCTGTTAAATTGGACATGTCAGTATGTTTAACTTCTTTCGCACCTCCGATTAACTTATTTTAATTGGTGGTGCAGGGGAAGGCCAACAAACGAAACACAAACAATGTGCAGCCCTTTGTCATTACCATACCGGTTGGCTCATGGAGGTTGTTTTTTCATACTTTACCCAGCTGGTCAGTAATGATTCATGAAGGCAGAGAGACCTTAGTAGATACGAAATCCCTTTGAATAACGAGACTAACAAAACTTTACTTCTGCTCATGCACTCGCCCCCATGTGATCTCCTGCCCCTGTCTGCTCGTTTTTGTCCCTAGGGCTCAAGATCGACTACTGAACCCCAGGAGCCACACAAGATGTCTGGAATCAACCCCGACGTTGCACACAATCCCAGCTCCACCCCCACAGCCTCTCATGGCCAATCGGCCACCGTCCTCACCCCCCCACAAGCACCGCCCAATCGGAGATCACCCCGCGACGCAACCATCAACGCAGCCACCGCCAACGCAGCTACCGCCAACGCAGCTACCGCCAACGCAGTCAACGCCAACGCCACCACTTCTCCAGAAGCCCCTGGCAGTCGGGCACCACCGACTTTGTGGAATCGCTCAGAGGAGCAGGGGGAGGTGGCGGCGCGTGGCAGTGGTGGTCCTGTAGCGGCCCGTGGTGGGAAAAGCAGCCGTGGCCGTGGCGGCGGCGGCGGCGGTGGCGGCGGCGGTACAGGAGTTACGTGGATGCAGCAAGGGCGGACGTCGCTGGGGAGCGAGCGGGAGTGTTGGCGTGCCCCGACTCGCGTGTTGTCCAAGGTACGACGATGATGGTGAATGCGATGATGAATGCGATGGTCAATACAATGGTGAATACAATGGTGAATGTGATGGTAAATGCTAAGCATGGAACTGTGCCATCTTGGCCACTTTGTGCCATTTAGAAAATTTTGTTTAACAATGACGGTAAGGGATTTTCAAACTGTACGTAATATATGAAAATGTATCACAAACCCTGTAATTGGGTGAACTACGTTATTATGTTCATTATGGAGGCCCATTAAACAGTGTCGCTGTCGCCACAAGGCACGCAACTTTTCATGGATTAGCATCAATCTTTAAACACAGGATACTAGCATCGAATCACATGTGTGGGAGTCAATTATTTCCAGTTTGCAATGTGTTGTATATAATAACAGTAATGACAATGCCCTCTATTTACCAAGGAAAGCTTCAGTGAGTCTCAATACTTTAACAGGCTGGTCTTGCATTGGTGTGTTTGGCAATTTATTTTCACAAGTATTTGTCATTTAATTGTTTCACGTAAACCCTGCAGCCTTGGGGACACCTCGTTCACCAGTGACAAATTGTTTCTTGAATAAACTCGTGAATTAAAATCTCAAGAATGCATCATCCCACGAGGATTGGCAGTTTGTTACAAGCCTAATGACAAATCCAGTCAAATGCTATTTAGCCATGCGGCCTATCCGTACACGGTTTTATGGGCCTGACGTGTGCGTGTCTTTCCTGGCGCGTGAAGGCCGGTGAATCCCCGGACTCCGGTATCGGCTCCACTCCCAATGGAACGCCCTCTTCGACCTCCTCGCCCTCGTCGCACCCATCGGAACGGCGGCCCCGGAACGCCGACGAGAGGAGGAGCAGAGGCGCGCTCCCCGGGAGGGGAGACCCACGGAGGAGCGACGCCCGAGCTGAAGCTGGAGCTCACAATTCCACCCGGGGTCCTCCGGCTCCTAGGGTGGAGCCAGAGCCCAGGGACGGAGTTCCACGTGGGAGAGACGTGCAAGACAGGGCTGATAGAGGAAGCAAAAGGTCCCGTGGAGGGGCCGGAAGAAGTCCATGTGACGGAGCTGACAGAGGGTTCCACGGCAGAGCTGATAGAGGTTCTAGTGGCGGAGCTGTCAGAGGGCCTCACAGCGGAGTTAATAAAGGATCAATAGATGGTGCAAGCAAAGTGCTCCCTGATGGAGCTAGTAAGGGATCCGGTGACAGAGCTGCTAAATGGCCCCAAGGTGATGATAAAGCACTCACTGATGAGGTGAGTAAAGGGCTGCCTGTTGCAGGCTTAAAAGAGTCTCATGGTGGAGCTACTGGGTGGCCTGGTGCCAGGACACCAACTCGAGACATGGCTGTCGCCTGCTCCTCCGAGCCCAGCGATGAAGGCAGTGCCCTCGCGGCGCCCGACCGCATCTCGTGGCCTGAACTCGGAGCTGCGCGAGGAGACCGGTCGTGGTCCCTGGGCAAGGACGGTGGCTCCGCAGTGAATGGACCTCGCCCTCAGCACGGAGCTCTGCCTGGGGACCGGACGCTGCCCACCCCTCCCACCCCGAGTGAGACAGCGGGGCGGGGCGGGGCGGGGGGCTTGATTTTTTTAAAGAAAATGCTCAGTGAGATATTTGGGTATAGCACGTAGGTCATCGCAGCGACTCGCAATGCAAGTGTGATCTAGATGGTTAGGTTGCAGGTTTGAGCAAGTCTTCTCTAAAGCTTTCACCACGCACATACTACTGCGGGTATCTCCAGGAATTTGTGAAAGTCATCTCCTGAAGTTGCCCGCAGTAGTGCGTGGCCAATGAATGAGAGAAGAAATCCTGAACATGCGGCATATCCCGGAAAACCGCACTTGGATACTTTGGTGTGCATCGCAAGCGATAACAATACTCCCCTTTAATTTAGGCTCAATTTCCTGGCTGTACACACGAGTGTCATCAACGTTTGCCATGCGTGTACAAGCCTTGTTCCAACGCGTAGAGAAATAAGGCCTGAAGTGCACTTTTTAAATTACACTAAAATGTTGCTCAATCTCTTGCATCTGATCTCATACGCTAAGCAGAATTATTCTTGGGGAGTACTTTGTTTGGAGACTGCCCAAAAATATGAGGTGTTATCGGCTTTGGTTGCCAGGTGGTAGGGAGATCACTGCACAGCAAGGTATTTATTTATTCTATCACCGTGGCACTTTTGACTGTTATCCCCATGTATCTGTATTTAATTGAATCGGCCAAACATCCAAAGGCAGATTCCCTTAGAAAAATATCCCTGAGACTCGCTGGGCAAATTAAGAGCGTTCATTTCATGTTACTTGCCCATGCAGTCAATATTTGTCGAGATTTGAATCCGACCCAAAAAAGCGTGCGCAGTATAGAACGCACGTGCGCTGGATTGATGGTAGCTGGTTGTTCCCACCTGCCTCTGTGTACGCTGCACACACTCCCCCCTCGCTCGTCTTCTCTCATCTCTCACGCCCCTCCGCCTCCTCCAGCCGTGATGACGTGGGCAAAGGTGGCATCGCGGCCACCCCCGCTTCCAGCGCCCCGTGGGCCCCCTGTTTCACAGGCAGCATGGACGTCGACATCCACCAGCGGTCGTGGGCAGCAGGTGGGCGGCAGTTTGAGACCCGTATCACTGAGTAGAGGTGGTACATGTACATTTTGTGTGGCTTATTAGTAGGCTTGTAATGGTTTGATCTTCTTCCTGTGTACGGTTGGATGAATTGTAAACCTATTGGTTTATGTCCAGATTAGTTAACCAGGGTGTGCAGTGAATTGTACTCCACCCCACCCAAAGCCTATTGGAAGCTCTTGGAAAATAAAGTGTGCGTGTATGTATGTTGAACTTCTTTCGCACCATACACAGCCAACCGTGCAAATCGGAGGTGTGGGGGAAGGGCAACAAATTTTATTTAGAGGCGTAGCGCCGTTGCTTTTAAAGACATCGTACTCACCGCAGAGAACCGTAGCGACACGACCGCACTCTATGATAGTTGGCGCAAAACTGTGCCACACACCCTCCCGCATGGCGTTGTGGGAGCCTCAGTACCGATAAAGTTCAAATTTGTATTTATTTTCGTGTTGTTTTGACGTCATCGGAACGGGAAAGGGTTAATTTGCGTACTCTTTTAAAAGGCGGCTAATACTTCTCCGCCGGCGTGTGGCTCCTGCCAGGCCGAGAGCTCGGATGAAGATGACGGCGGTGGCGGCGGCAGCAAAAAGAAGACTCAGAGGAAGAAGAAAAAAAGCAAGAAGAAGGCGCCCAAGACCACCGTGGCCGAGACCCCCCCTCCGCATGTCGAGCCGCTCAGATTTCAGGTGACGGTGCGGTCGGGGGAGTAGTTGTGCCGCTGGCTCACAACGGCCTACCCGGCACGGATAGCACTCGGAGGTTTAGCGTTTGTGATCGGGCAGACAGCAGCGTGTATGAGTGTTAACATTCCCTTTGTAACAACAACAACAACAATATTGGTGTATGTTCGCACAGTACGTAGCCAACCGTGCTAATCAGAGGTGCGGGGGAAGGGCAACAAACTAAACACAAAAAGCAGTTCTAAAGAAATGAGTTTTCATTCCAGATTTTAAAGTGCATAGCTCCAGTGGCTTCCTAATATCGGATGGAAGAGCGTTCCAGACTGCCGTAGAAGCACATCTGATGGTTCTTTACAGATCCTTTATTTTCTATGTGCAGAGACAGATAAGTGAAGGAGACATTGTCTGCTTATCTATTTATTATAGTAAGTTATAGGATTGGTCAAATTTCACTGGCGCTCTGCTGATGGCCTCAGTTGTGCCATTGTTGGTGCTGGGCCCTGGTTGATTGTTACCGGGCTGTACCGCGGTGTTGTTTTGTCTTCTTCTCAAACTTCACAATGTAGGAGACTCCTTAATAAGTTCTGAGAACCCATGGGGCTTTCCTGGATGAATGAGCATCATTTTAAAATTTTCTCACAGGTCACCCTTGCATTGGGGACATGGTTTGTTCCTATCATATGTCCCCCGATTAGCACGGTTGGCTACGTACGATGTGAAAGAAGTTCAGCATACATATGCCAAAAACCTGTCAGCTAATTCAGTTGAAGGTGTTGTCATTTGCTGCTGATGATTATTTAGATGTATAAGGCATCCTTAAACAATGGATCTCAGAGCGCCACAAATGTAAAGACGGAAATAAGTGAGAAGTAACTGTGCAGAGAGAAATAAAATGGACACGATAGAGAACTAGAGAGGGAGAGAGAGAGTAGATCTTGTTAAACAGGGACTTAAGTCTCCATTGGCTGCGAGCTCCTCACCTCGAAGGGCAGGGAATTTCAGAGCCTGGGCGCTGTGCAGACAAAAAGTCCCTGCGGTCATCGCAGGTTCAAATCCTTGGAGCGCACGTTCATTCTGAGTAGGGCACGATCGGTGGAGTGGAGTGGTGTGTGAGGCTGAATCAACTCCTGGATGTGTGGTGGAGCAAGGGCATTGAAAGCCTTCAATGCGGGTTTGAACTGGAAGCCAATACAGAGCACAGGCGAGATGTGGTCTCGAAGAGGAGTGCGAGTGAGCATACTGACGGCCACATATTTGGCGGACTGTGGACTACCAAGGAGGTTACTCGGGACTCTGAGTAGCAGGACATTACAAGAGGCATTTCGCACCTACGATTAGCACGGAAGTTCAACATACATTGAACAACATAGTACAATCAAGACGGGAAACTAAACGAGCGCATGACGCTTCGACTGAGGCTTTAAATAACCAACAAACAATGCTTTCACTCCCCACGCCCTCCTGTCCCCTGTTCCCTAACAACTGCGCTCACCCACACCATCACCTCTTCTTGGGATCAGGACGATGAGGAGTTCCCTGGGCTCTCGGCCTCGTTGGGACCTCGGCGACTCCCGATGGCCCGGCCAGGGTTCCCGGCAGCGGGAACCACTCAGCAGCCTCAAACCTCTGTCCCTAAGGTAAGGGGTCAAGGGGGTGGCAGAAATGGGCATTGCTTTGCCAGTTTGGATATTTTTGTTTTGTTGAAATGTTATTCCAATTGTGCTGTCGGCTTCGTGTTATGAGATGAAGGAATGTCCATCCGGGGGGCCCTCACGGCGCAGTGCTTCGCAGAGCATGCCGCACAGGGTACTGTTCAGAAACGGCCCGTGGAAGCTGATTCCACAGAGCTACTTCTGAGAGGTCCCTTCAAGGGATCTTCTTATCTACACTTGGAGCGCTGCACTTTTCCAAGTGCCCTGCTATAGAGATGTGCATCACATGGTAGTCAAACCAAAATGTGAATACTTAATTCTCCCAGCTGGAATTTTTGGCAAATTAATTGCAAACCCAAATTGAATTAAGTTTTCTCTTTTTGTGTGTATCTGGTCATTAGTGGCCAGACCGAGACCAATTAAGTCCCCACACTTGAGAACCCAGCTTGTCTTACACGAATTAAACCTGAATTCGAAATCAATGTTTACAGTGGTGCTGACTCACTTCGCTTTCAGCAGTATAGGTCACCTGAGCCATCGAGCCACCTTATGCTTCGCTTGTAAGTTTTCTGTTGGGCCTGGAGCATAAGTAGGGTTTAGTAGGCTTGAGCGATGTGTGGGGGGCCAGGAGATGGGAGTACAGTAATGGATTGTTGAATTTATCTGTGTGAATTTGAGTTTGCTCGAGTATTTTTTTTGAATACTCCTGTTTCATCCCACACGTTCAATACTCGTCAATCCAATAGTCAAAACGTTGCAGTGCAAACCCTACTTAAAAAGGAGCCTTGAGAATGAGGCTTTCCTGCCTATGTGAAAGGACATCATCAACTATTGATCGCTGTGGGCAGCCCACGTGGACAACCGGTGGCTGGCCGCTTGATGGACACCGCTAGTTGCTCACGGCCCGCCAGTAGCCACCAAAGGAGGCGAAGGGTACGGGACGCCGTTTTCTGCCCTGCAGAAGGGCTCGGGCAAGAAGAGCAAGGCCCCAGTCACGCTGGATCTGGGGGACGTCCTGGCCACCTTCGAGCGGCAGCAGCACGAGCAGCAGGAGATCGCAGAGGCGAACGCTGCCGCCGCCGCCGCCACCTCTAGCTCCGCGCTGCCGACCTCGCATGGTTCCACGCACCTCGCCACGTCCAGGCCCGCCAAGCCCATCATCTCTGGTGAGTGTGACTCGCTGTCGTCAGAAACCACGGTGTCCGTTAGTCCTCTGCCCAAAGCCAGGTCCTTGGCTCAAACTCCCCCTCCATTGTGTCCGACCTTGAGCATTCTTCTTCATTTCACTGCAGAGCATCCTGATGTTAATCTCCTACCTAACCCTTCTTTCAAATGAAAGTACACAAATGAGAAGGGAAAATTGGAACCCAAAAGAATCTGTCCTGTAATCGGCTTGCGACCCTGAATCGTGACCATGTATCTATTCACCGGGGGCATGAATTGTTACACTCATAGTCTTCATGTCACACTGAATATTTTCTAGGTAGTCAGGCACATAATTAGTATCCACAGCCAAAGCAAGAGGTGTACTGGATGTGCTGTGTCAAGTGCAGAGCTATTTTCCTGCCGCTGGTAGACTGGCATAAGCACGTGGCTAGTACCCACAGTCATAGCGAGTGGTATACTGGATGCGGTGTGCCGGGTGCGGAAATATTTAGCAGTTCACCGGCTGAAGTTAAGCCTTGCTCGTAACTGTCCACTTCTGTCCCACGACTCGCCTTCTCCGCGGTGGGGGGTGCACAGTTGGCACGGCCTCAGCCCCGCTGCCTAAGAAAGAGACCCTGCTGGGCTCTTCTAAGAAGAGTGGGCGCGGGGGTCCTGCGCCACACAACCCCCTGGACTCGAGCGCCCCGGCCGTGAAGCGCGGCAAGGAGCGCGAGACACCGCGCGCCAAGAAACCCACAACGCTGAAGAAGGTGAGGGTCAGGGGTCAGAGGCCATTGCCGCCACCGCATAGCTCCGGACATGTATAATTTATGTTTAGTGATTTACTTACCATTTTTTTAATTTTTTCTATTGTTTTCTGCTATTTTAACCTGCTTACCCGCCCATACTGGACATCTGTGAAAAAGAGCGTCATAGCTTTTCGGTTTGTATCCTCAAAATTCGGTATCCCAATCGTGATTAAACTGGGTTTTCAAGTCTCGCGATTTGATGGTCACAGCCGAGCTATCAATGTATTATGTAGAGAGGACCCGTAGGCTCCCCATAGAGACACGCAGACTAACGTAGACACCCAAAGACTCGCACGTTGTTATAAAGGAAGCGTCGACATGCATTCTTCTGTCAGCTTTTAAAGAAGGTGAGGATCTGACCTCGTAATGGGGGCTCCTTTAGGGCCGCTCCCTTCGCCAGCCGCTGCCCTGGGGCAGTTTAGCCCCCAATCCTGGTGGTGGTGACGGCGACGGTATGGGGGAAATCGCGGGCGACGCTGCCCCCTTGCTGCCGTGCCGTACCGTCGCCTCTGTGACCCTCCGTGCCGTACCCTCCGTGCGCCCCAAGGTGATCCTGAAGGAGCGCGAGGAGAGGAAGAGGCGGCGTTTGTGCGAGGAGCGAGGCCTCGTGTACGTGCCCGGCGGCGACTCGCCGGCTAGCGATGCCGACGCGCGCAAGGATGAGGGTGGCGAGGGCAAGGACGAGGGCAAGGCCGAGAGCAAGGATGAGGGTGGCGAGGGCAAGGATGAGGGTGGCGAGGGCAAGGACGAGGGCAAGGCCGAGGGCAAGGATGAAGGTGGCGAGGGCAAGGCTGAAGAAGGCACGGAGCCAGTGGACGCCGACAACGACGATGAGACGGAAGCCGAAACGGAATCGGAGCTGGAGACGGAGCAGGAGACAGAGGCAGAGTCGGATGCGGAGCGACCGATGGGGGGCTCCCCCGCGGACGTGGAGCCTCCGGACACCCCCCAAGACAGCTCCGCCGATCCCAACGGGAATCAAGGTACCGTGGTCGATGAGCGACGTGACACGGGGCATCGGTTTGTCGTTTGAAATCGATTCTTAACGATCGTGGATGATGCGTGCAATTGCGCACGCAGGAGTCTCTTGTGGCTGATACCAATTCTGCGTAAATGTTTTGCCAGTGTTTCATTCGGTTTCGTGGAGTGAACAACTGTAACAAGTGCCCAGAACGTATGAGGAACGATACAAAATAGACCCAAAAAAAAGTTATTGTGGAATCGTGACCCCCAAGTTGTGATTATTCATAGCATTGCCTAGAGGTCAAGGTGCTGATGGTGGCATTGTGGATTGCGGGGTGATGTGGTGCTCTATCCACTGCTGCATGAATGTGCTATTGCCGGGCAAATAGAGGATTATGCAGTTCGGTTCTGTATATTGATTGGTTATACAGTAGAGAGGCCCTCATCCAGCAGTGGATTGACACGGGGATGTATTTTTTGTCATGTATTATTTATTAAAAGTGTTTGTATATATTAAGTGGAGTGGTAATGTCAGAGCTAGTGTGTACTGCACTTTAAATCCGACTTCCTGGGTTCGATTCCCAGACACTGCAAACGTCGGTGACGATTGCGTGAACCGTCCCTGGGCCTCCCTTCAGAGGCCAGCGCTGGGAAGGCAAAGGATGCCAAGCGTGGATCCGGCCATCCCCCCCCACCACCCCCTTGTGCGCCGTGCCAACCATTAGAGGTGGTCACTAACAGCCCCTTGCCATAACAGCTAGAAGAGGCTATTCGGGGGGGATCTTTGTCTTTATACACGTGTTGTATACACGTGTAAATGGAGCCCCTCCCATTAATGGTATGAATTTCCAGGTTTCCTTTTCAATGAATGAAAGATGAACTTCCCGTAACTGATTGGCCTGCCGAGATGTTGCCACGAACTGCTTTCTTTCCCCCTTCTCTCTTGCGAGGCCCCCGTGTTGTTCTAACGCCCGTCTCTGTACGTTGCTGGTGCTGCTGCTCCGGTGTTTTAGCCACGGACGTGGATGAGGATGGGCGCGAGTCCCCGTCTCCCGTCGTGAGAGCAGAGCTCCCGCCGCCAGGCCCCAAGATTCACAGCCGCCGCTTCCGCGAGTAAGCGGGTTTTAAAGGGGGGGGGTGGGCACGGGGTGGGGGGGGTGGGCATGGGCTGGGGGGGGTGGGCGCGGGGTGGGTGGGGGGGGTGGGCGTGGGGTGAGGGGGGTGGGCGCGGGGTGGGGGGGGTGGGCGCGGGGTGGGGGGGTGGGCGCGGGGTTGGGGGGTGGGCGCGGGGTGGGGGGTGGGCACGGGGTGGGGGGGTGGGCACGGGGTGGGGGGGTGGGCACGGGGTGGGGGGGTGGGCACGGGGTGGGGGGGGGGGCACGGGGTGGGTGGGGGGGCACGGGGTGGGTGGGGGGGCACGGGGTGGGCACGGGGTGGGCGGGGTGGGCACGGGGTGGGGGGGGGGCGCGGGGTGGAGGCACGGGGTGGGGGCATGCGGCATGCGGGGTGGGGGGCAGACGATTCTCTCCTTCCCGCACACAGGATAACCACACACTCGTGCTCCTATATTGACACCAGAAGGAGGGGTGGATTGAGTCACAACCCCAACCGTTCATCAGGTTCACCATGATACCTTCTCTGCTCTAATTCATTATGGCTCACACCTTTCCCGTACTAACGCGATGGGCTGCGCTTTGCTTGCTCCTCGGCAACCTGTTGATGCTGACATTCCCCCGTCCAGCACCCGATTAGTGCGGCGAAGATGCTCGCAGCGACGGACAAATATCGCTTGAATGCCGTTTCGAAGTGGTGGCACTTTCGTGTCCCCCGCCACCACCCCCCGCCGCATGCCTATTCGCTTGGGAAGTCGCGGGGTCAGACGTGGCGCGTGGACCGCTACGTCCCACGCCCCTAACCTACAGCGATGGGGAAAAAATAAAAACACAACCCTGACCAATTATTGTTTTTTTACCCTTTTATCTGGCACACAATACCTGCAGGTATTGTGGTCTATGCAAACATGACTCCTTGTAAAAGAGGTGTCAGTTTTGTTGCCAGATAAAAGGGTAAACAAACAATTATCATATTTTTTCATATGGCAAATGAGGTTCCAATGGTGTAATGCTTACCCTGAGCTCTCATACTCTGATGGTGCATTGTCTTTGAGTTGTGTGCCTTTTGGCGTCATCTGGTCCAACACCATGTGAGACTAGGCTCTAAGGAAAGCTGTCTCGGGTGTGGACCAATCAACTTCAAGGACAGTGCATACATTATCAGAGTTATGTTTTTTGTTTGCATTACGACTGCAGGTATTGTGGTCTATGCAAACATGACTCCTTGTAAAAAAAGGTGTCAGTTTTGTTGCCAGATAAAAGGGTAAAAAAACAATAATATTTTTTCCTGGCAAATGAGGTTCCAATGGTGTATACAACCCTGACCGTTGAACCGGCGTTTCCTCCACCAGCTACTGCAACCAGGTGCTGAGCCGTGAGATAGACCAGTGCGCCAGCGCGATGCTGCTGGAGCTCGTGCGCTTCCAGGAGCGCCTGTTCGAGCGCGACCCCGAGCGCGCTCGCCGCAAGCGCCGCCTCGTCATGGGCCTCCGGGAGGTCACCAAGCACCTGCGCCTGCGCAAGCTGCGTGCGCTCATCATCTCGCCCAACTGCGAGAAGATCCAGGCCAAAGGTCGGCAAAGGGAAGATGCGCGCGGGATAGGATGGTAGCGGAGGTCTGGACTAAAACTAAACTTTTTTTTATTTTACTAGGTAAGGCCCACTGAGCTACGTAGCTCTTTTTGCAGAAGCGACTTTTCCGTCACGAATGATAGCTCAACAAAGTGGCTTATCACGTGGAAACGTATAGCAGTCAAATACTCTAAACACACGTTTCTAAGTGTGGAAGGAAAAACCAGAGGACCAGGAGAGAAATCCACACAACCACGGGGATAGCAGGAGTCTTGGTCAGGATCGAACCCCACAACCTCCTGTATACCCGGCGAGCTAGTTAGCATCTCGCCACCGTGGCACGGTGTGGGTTAGGGATCAGGGATCAGTAGGCAGGCAGGCCACATGTTTTAATTATAGTGGTAAGTAATTGGCATGTGCCCATGACCAAGTCACCCGGACGCAACCGTTCCCTGTCAGATCTGGATGCCAAGTAGGGTTGAGCCCACATGGATTGGCAAAGCGCCTGTGTGTGTACGTTTGTGGATGCAGCAATCTTATCGATCCGTGAATTAAAATTGATTGGTATGCTCGCAGATAAATGCCTGGAATTGTGCTCGTTGTCGCTGATAAAATATTATTTTGTAAATGCTGTTTACATTTTATGCCAATTACATATTTAGGGAAATATAAGGAATGATGCAAAACACTGTACCCAGGTCACTCTTGCAAATCAGACTATCTTGATTTCTTGAGAGCTTACCTTGTTAAACAATATAGGCTAAACAATTTACAACACTCGAAATATGTCGATGTACATCACCCTGTTCGACAATTTCTCGCGATGCCCATGCCTTGCTTTATGTACAAATGCAGCTGCATTTAGCACACTTTTCTGTACGTCCACAGTGTATTGTGTGTGTGTGGGTATATAGCTGTTCTCTCTCTGTGTGTCTTTGTGATGTCTGTCTGCTTGCGTGTCTGTCTATAGTTTTCTGGTTAGATTTTTGTTGCTATTTCTTTTATACCTGATGATGATTGCTTGTGTTGCAATCGAAACGTCGTAGTATGCTATTATTTAATTTATTATTTTATCTTTATACGTGACTTAACCGAAAGAACCAAAGAATAATTCCTGCAGTCACGAAAGCTCCAAAATTGGGTATATAGCTGTCATTGCATTTTGATTTTGTCAATCTGGTGACTTTGGGTCACCCTTACTTCGAGACTCATCCTTGCTCTCTCGAATTTCTCACCCGTTTACACGAAACAAACCGTTTGAACGTGTGTGCTGGCGCGCGGTGATGGCGGCGGTGGTGGCAGGCGGACTGGACGAGGCCCTGCAGACGGTGATTGCGCTCGCCAGCGAGCAGAGCGTCCCCTTTGTGTTCGCGCTCAACCGCAAGGCGCTGGGCCACTGCCTCAACAAGAAGGTCCCCGTGAGCGTGGTGGGGGTGTTCCACTACGGCGGCGCCGAGGTGACCTCGCGCGCCCGGCACAACCACGTCGCCCAAAATGCACCCCTCACTCCACTCCCACCCAAAGCCTATTGGAAGCTTATGGAAAATAAAGTGTGCGTGTATGTATGTTGAACTTCTTTAGCACCGTACGTAGCCAACCGTGCTAATTGGAGGTGTGGGGGGAGACAAAAAACAAACTGAACTCAAAACTAATTTATAAATTCTAAAGAAATTAGTTTTAAATCTCGGTTTAAAAGTGCATAGCTCCAGTGGCTTCTTAATATTGGAAGGAAAAGCGTTTCAGGCGTTCGTGGAAGCGCACCTGAAAGCACGCGACGCAGTGACCGTGTTTGTTCCAGGGAATCAACCCCAAAATAGGATTGATCCCAGATGGTGATGATAAAGTATACTACGCCACGACGTCTCTTGAGCTGGAATGATGCCTTCGGCTTGTGACCAAATTCACTCTGAATTTGGCGCGAATCGGTGTGATAATGGTGATCATAATATTCTTGTTGTGGATTCTGGTAGTGATATTAAGGGTGGTGGTTTTGTTAAAGGTGACTGTGATGATTGTATGGTCGTTTCAATCCTGGTGGCGGTGTAAATAATGGTAATCGTGTTGACTGTTTCAGTAAGTGATCATGGTGACAGTGGTCGTGTTTTTGGTGTTGATCGCGATGATGGTGGTGCTACTATCGCGATGACGGAGATGATTGGTACGTGACGTTGACGGCTTCAGTGACGGGAGGGGGGGGAGTGCTGTCGGCGGTGGTGACTGCTATGACTCGGGTAGCGATACCGGTGGTGGTGCATAGGCCGATGACGGTGTCGATCGAGCTTGTATTTACGCCACCCTTCACTTCCCTTCCCCACCCCCCCACCGCGTTGCTGCCCGGGCACACAGACGCACTTTCAGCGGCTGGTGGCGCTAACGGAGGAGGCTCGCTCTGCCTACCGCGACATGGTCAGCTCACTGCAGCAGCAGGAGGCGGGCGCTACCAACGAGTCGACGGGGCACACCGAGGACCCCCTCGAGGCGTCCGCTTCGCCTCCCTCGGTGCCCGCGCATGATCCCACCGCCCTGCTGCACCTGCTGAGGCTGCCGCAGGGCCACAGGGAGGAGGACCCAGCTGAGGGGTCCGGGCGGTCGCCTGGAAGGAACGCACGTGGTGCTGCGGAGACGGAACGACGGATGCCCGCCGCTTGTGGTGGTGGTGACGATCGTGATGAGGGCGATGATCGTGGTGGCGTTGGTGGAAAACGGCCAGATACGAATCTCTGCCAGGATGGCGTCACTGCAGTGTGGAGTGGGGCAGGGCGTGGTGGAGTTGGATAGGGTTAAGTAGGGACATGTATAGGCCAGTGCTGTGTAGGGTTAAGGTCGGGTATCATGGGTTATTAATAAGGTAGAATAGGGTAGGGTGAGGTTGGAGTAAGATAAGTTAGGGTAGGGTTAGAGTAAGGCCCGGTCGGGGCAGTTTAGGGTAAGCTATGTGAACCTGCGAAAGATAGTGTAAGATGCTAGAGTAATGTGAAGTAATATTACGGAAAGTCTTACCGAGTGTCAGGAGAATCCGACATTGGGATGCTTTGGCCAGTTCAATTTTTTTGTTATGTTTATTTTCTTATGATAGGAAATCTGGGCGGGGTTTAAGAAAGGAAAAAAACATCCATGCATACGAAAGAATAACACCCTAAGATCTCCCCACGTTCAGCAGTTCATGAAGCCCAAATGCCGTACTGTCACCTGTTGGTTAAACTGCCCAGGAGGTTTTGGAATTTCACGAATCCTATGCGGTTCACCTACGCTTGTCTCTATAGTGCTGCATTACAGACGTAATGCAAGATAGCCTCTTTGATTATTATGGCAAGGTGTTGTGCGGTAAGGTAATGAAACTCCGTGTTAGTGTAATGCAGGGTGGTAGAGTCGGAGTTAAACTGGCCTGCGTAGGGTGGAGTTCATTAACCCTTTCCCATTCCGAGACACCTGCAAGTTTGCAGGGTGGATCCCGTTCACTTCTGAATCACGGAACGTGCAAGAGGCTCGGTGTTAATTTTATAGAGGCATAGCGCCGTGGTTTTGAAAGACATTGTGCTCACCGCAGAGAACTGTGGCGACACAACCGCAATCTGTGATCGCTGGCGCCAAACTCTGCCACTCACCCTCCCGCATGGCGTTGTGAGTTATTTTATCTTAGTTTTCCTTCCAGTTTTATTTTGACGATGTCCACGTACGTCATCGGAAAGGGAAAGGGTTTATGCGCAGGTCGTAGCGAAGAGGCGTCGAGCAGAACGTTTCCTGCGTCGGATTGTGTACAGTCCCATAGGGCGAGTAACGGTGGTCCGGAGAGCAGGTAACGTGATCGATGGGATGATGGAGCGGTGTTTGTCGTGGTGCCGCCTTCCCGCGTCAGTTTCCAGCACAGGGCAGCGCCTTCCCGAGACTTCTCCAATCGCCCTCCAGGTCCACTGACGATGACGACGAGTGAATGTTTCAGACTTTTCTTGGCGCTGCACTTGCAGCGCCTTACAAAGTAAAACCCCTTGCGCACACAGGCACTGCAGGGCTCAGCATAGAGTACGCCGATAGCCTGTGGGCACGGTATGCCTACGGAAAGAGCTTTTGAGTAAATCATGTAGTTATATTACTGTAATTGTGCTCAGAAGGTTTTCCGCAAATGTACATTGATGGTGTTTTTTTTTGTTTGTCAAAACGATGTAACGACAAGCCGTTACAGGAGGGCATTCAACGATCAATTGTACCCACGTGCAATGGTGTCACGGTGGCCCTGGCAGCTGTCGCACTGAAGTTAAAGGGGCCACACTTGCATTGCGAGCACATAATGACAGACCCTTGCGCACGTGCGTAGTAGAGTGGCGAGCAGAGGTCGCAATCGGGTACCCGATACCCGTACCCTACCCGATACCCGACTACCCGTACCCAGCCGGGTACGGGTACCCGTTTGTGACCCTGGTGCGGTCGAGTACGGGTACGGGTAGGCCGTCAGTCACTGGTGAGTAACGCGATGATGGTGGTTTGTCACTCATTTCCCAACGTCTTGTCTCTTCTCACAATTCAAGTTCCTAGAATCAACCCACCCGCGCCTGCAACATGGCTTCATCCCAGAGGTTGCAATCGGGTACCCGATACCCGTACCCTACCCATACCCGGCCGGGTATCGGGTAGGGTACGGGTAACCCGTACCCGGCCGGGTATGGGTACCCGTTTGCGACCCTGGTGCGGCCGGGTACGGGTAAGGAATCAAAACCCGTTTGCGACCTCTGGTGGCGAGTAAAGGAATTGACCACCACGGTGGCGAATTGTTAACTCCCTCGCCTGGTGTGCAGGAGGTCGTGGGTTCGATTGTGATCCTTATGCCTGCTGCTGTATATTTTGAGTTTGCATGTTCTCTCCGTGGTCACGTGGATTTTTCTCCGGGTCCTCCAGATTTTCCCTCCACATTTACAAAACGTGCGTTTTGGGTATTTGGCTGCTCTAAATTTCCAAATAAGCCACTTCATTGAGCTGTCATCTGTAACCAGGTCGCTCCTGAAAAAGAGCTATATAGTTCAGTGGGCCTTATCCGGTCAAATAAAAAGTTTAGTTTTGGTGAGCCAACACAGAGGTTCGCATGTTCCCACATGACTCATAAAACTTCACTTCCAGGTGCAGCCACGGCTGCTGCTGTATCAGCGCTGTCCATGGTTCTGGAATTGATGGGTATGGGAACGTGAGGTTTTGGAGGGCCCAGGTGTACACCAAAGAGCGGCAAGCCATATGCCGTGTTCTCTCACAAGTAGGATTGCTATGATTCACTCTCCTCCCCCTGCGATGTTTGTGTGTGTCACGATTCGTTATTATGATTTGCTTCGAGAATCAATAATTGTTTTAGTTTCCTCGTCTTGTGTTTTCTTGTCTGTTCACTTAACCTAAAGGTAAAATTTGCATATGATTTACATTTGTAGTCTATTTTTGCGTGCACATAAGAAACTCTGTAACTCGATTAATGTAATTGTTTATTTGCCTGTTCAATTGTTGATATGTGGCTCCATGGCTCTGTGTCCCCCACCTGCACCCCCCCCCACAACTTAAAAATCATTCCCATGTGCCGATGCCCGTGGCAGATGCGTATGGTTTTACATGTGCTTCTGCTGGTTCAACAATGTGAATCCCAGCAGCGGTCAAGAGAATGAGGCTCGTCTTTGGTGAGGCAACGCCAATGAACCAAAGCCATCTCAGCGACGCAACACGTTTTTATGGACGTACGTTGAACTTCTTTCGCATCGTACGGTGCCAACAGTGAAGTTGTTGCGATGGCGCCGAAGTGGTTTAGCGCGCTCCGCACTATGAACCAGCGGACCTGAGTTCAATTCCTGGACATGGCCAACACTAGCCGAGAATGATGTCTGAAGGATTCCCGGCCCCCCCCCCCCCCTTTCACCAACCCACGCTGACAAGCGTGGTGAGTTGTGGTCGAAGAACGGCAGTGAGAAAGTGGGGAGGCCTTCACTCAGCAGTGGGATTGATAAGAAGGTCTGGCAGCGCACAAACGATTTTTTGACGGAATTTATTTTACCGTTATAATTGTGCTTTTATTTTACAAAATCTATAAAAAAAGACGGATGGTGATGCATGAAATCGTGTAACGATAATTATGTCATAGGATGAGTACTGGTAATTATGGTAATAATGAATCACTATTAAATTTGACTAATGCACTTATTCTGTCCTGTAATTTGCAAGAGGTAGGGTAGGGAACCTTGTTTTGCGTTTGTTTATTTTTTCTTACCGCAGTCAGCAGCGTTGATGCGCTGCGGATCCAGCATCGCAAAAGCACAGGGCATTACCGTGCGGGACTGTACAATCGACAGCGTAATGGCATAATGACTCGACGCCGCATCATGGATTTTACAAGCGAAACACAGAGACGTCAATACAAGTAATGAAAATGTGAAATAAAAACAACCTCAAATCTTTAACGCGATCCGTGCGGTCCGTTTTCTCCTCGCCCTTCGTCGTCGGCTTCGGGGCCGTCCATAAATGACGTCACGCACCTGGGGGGGGGGGGGGTCAGACATTTGTGACGATGTGTGACGGGGGGGGGGGTTTGAGAAATGTGACGTCACATCAAAATGCGAAACTTTAAATATAGACAACACGTTCTACTTAAATAGACTTTTTAAATAAATGTTTTCTCCAACAGAGTGCAGCGCCACATTAAATACGCACTACAATGACAATAGTTTAAAACGATTTGAAGCATGTTTTAATTTTTTTTCGGGGTGGGGGGGGGGGCAGAGCTTTGTGACGTCATATTTGAGGGGGGGGGCTGACTCTGTGACGAGGGGGGGGGGTGGTGAAAAATCGTTCAAAATCGCGTGACGTCATTTATGGACGGCCCCTTAATCGTCCTTCCATGCCCACCGGGTCGGCGGTGGTTCCGCGCACGGACTGTGATCCCCACCACTGGAGGCGAGGATTTGGTGGGTCACAGAGACGTTTGGAAGCTCCCTGCGCCGTGGGGCGTGGAGGTGGTCCCCCCTGAGATATTTCGATGGGATTGAGGCCCCAATTGTGGCGTGAACACTCGACTTTCGAGAGCGTTGGCACGTACGACACCAGGTTTTGACATTCGAAACTTGGGTAACGTTAACATTTCACGTTATTTCATAACCAACAACACTCAACTAAAGGCTGTTTTAGACTGTGGATGGTATTTTAAAATACAATAGCATGACATTCCTACAATACCTGTGAGATGCATTCTTAAAGCAGATTACCTATCCTAACCTGAAATACTAGTTCTCACATCAGATTAAAGTTGCACTATTAGTGTTTTTGGTATTTGCCACAAGTCACATTTTAAACACACGTGATAAGAAGTAGGAGCGGTGGCGCAGTGATTACCGGAGTACACCATGAACCAGATCATCTGAGTTCGATTGACAGCCATGGTTATCGATTATTGGTGGCGAGTGATATCCAAACCACATTGACCATTGTGGTGAAATATCGTAAACTGGACATCTGTGGGGAAAGACCTGTTTTGCTCATCGGATTCCTCCCGTATAAATGAAGATTCTGAAACGACATCCGTGACTGAGGAGGCAGCGTGGGGAGGCATTCGTATTGTTAAACTGTACTAATACACTATTGTATTATTAAACTACGAATAAACGTATTATATTGCTAAACTACTAATACACATTCTATTGTATTGTTAAACGTTATGGAGAGCGGTTCGTGCTTCGTTTAAAACCCAGTGGTCTGACTTCCATTCGCCGAAATTACGACTTTACATTTCCACGCCTGGTGCACGCCTTCCGGATAAGTACAGCGACTCTTACGAACGAATTCGGTTCCAGAAGTCTGTTCCCAAGTCGATGTTTTACTCCTGCCGATTACAATGTTGTATGGCATGTACACTAAGAGTTGTATAATCTGCTGCAGATGTAGATGCCACTGGTTCTTCATATTCTGCAGATGTAGATGCCACTGGTTCTTCATGTTCTGCAGATGTAGATGCCACTGGTTCTTCATGTCCAGCAGATGTAGATGCTACTGGTCTCTTCATGTCCAGCAGATGTAGATGCTACTGGTTCTTCATGTTCTGCAGATGTAGATGCCACTGGTTCTTCATATTCTGCAGATGTAGATGCCACTGGTTCTTCATGTTCTGCAGATGTAGATGCCACTGGTTCTTCATGTCCAGCAGATGTAGATGCTACTGGTCTCTTCATGTCCAGCAGATGTAGATGCTACTGGTTCTTCATGTTCTGCAGATGTAGATGCCACTGGTTCTTCATGTCCAGCAGATATAGATGCTACTGGTCTCTTCATCTTCTGCAGATGTAGATGCCACTGGTTCTTCACGTTCTGCAGATGTAGATGCTACTGGTCTCTTCATGTCCTGCAGATGTAGATGCCACTGGTTCTTCACGTTCTGCAGATGTAGATGCTACTGGTTCTTCATGTTCTGCAGATGTAGATGCTACTGGTTCTTCATGTCCAGCAGATGTAGATGCCACTGGTCTCTTCATGTTCTGTAGATGTAGATGCCACTGGTTCTTCATGTTCTCCAGATGTAGATGCCACTGGTTCATCATGTTTTGTAGATGTAGATGCCACTGGTTCTTCATGTTCTGCAGATGTAGATGCTACTGGTTCTTCATGTCCAGCAGATGTAGATGCCACTGGTCTCTTCATGTTCTGTAGATGTAGATGCCACTGGTTCTTCATGTTCTCCAGATGTAGATGCCACTGGTTCATCATGTTTCGTAGATGTAGATGCCACTGGTTCTTCATGTTCTCCAGATGTAGATGCCACTGGTTCTTCATGTTCTGCAGATGTAGATGCCACTGGTTCCTCATGTTTTTCAGATGTAGATTCTACTGGTCTCTTCATGTTCTACAGATGTAGATGCCACTGGTTCTACATGTGGCATCTACATAACATACGGACAGGTTTGTTCGTATCTCTGAAAGTTCGTAAATCGAATGTTCGTAGGTAGAAGATTCCTCGTCCGCAGATTCATCATTTTCCTCCACGAGGTCGACAGTTCGACTGTGGCTCTGCTCCCCACACTTGGCCTCATCGCTCGCCACCATGAATTCTTCAGCAATTGCTTGCCGCCGCTGTCGCGTTTGCAACGGTGCGCGGACAAAAATAACAAAGCGAATTCAACACATTCGTCAGTAACACATTGTATAACAGGTGAAGATGTGGGCAATGTGCTCTAAAGAAGGGCCCATTATTGACCAAAATGTCACCTATTTTAAATTGTTTACTTTTCATCCAGAGTAGTGTTATCGACTAACGTGTCGAGTCGGTGTTTTACTGTTCGTAGTGGGCAGTGCTTCCCAGAGCGTGATCCCCCGATCACTGGTGAGTGTCACCCAGACTGGTGGTGTCACCCAGACTGGTGGTGAGTGTCACCCAGACTGGTGGTGAGTGTCACCCAGACTGATGGTGAGTGTCACCCAGACTGGTGGTGAGTGTCACCCAGACTGGTGGTGAGTGTCACCCAGACTGGTGGTGAGTGTCACTCAGACTGGTGGCGAGTATCACCCAGACTGGTGGCGAGTGTCACTCAGACTGGTGGTGAGTGTCACTCAGACTGGTGGTGAGTGTCACCCAGACTGGTGGTGAGTGTCACCCAGACTGGTGGTGAGTGTCACCCAGACTGGTGGTGAGTGTCACTCAGACTGGTGGTGAGTGTCACCCAGACTGGTGGTGAGTGTCACCCAGACTGGTGGTGAGTGTCACCCAGACTGGTGGTGTCACCCAGACTGGTGATGAGTGTCACTCAGACTGGTGGTGAGTGTCACCCAGACTGGTGGTGAGTGTCACTCAGACTGGTGGTGAGTGTCACCCAGACTGGTGGTGAGTGTCACCCAGGCTGGTGGTGAGTGTCCCCCAGACTGGTGGTGAGTGTCACCCAGACTGGTGGTGAGTGTCACCCAGACTGGTGGTGAGTGTCACCCAGACTGGTGGTGAGTGTCACCCAGACTGGTGGTGAGTGTCACCCAGACTGGTGGTGAGTGTCACTCAGACTGGTGGTGAGTGTCACCCAGACTGGTGGTGAGTGTCACCCAGACTGGTGGTGAGTGTCACCCAGACTACTGGTGAGTGGTCCGCGACGATCCTCCAGATGGTTCGTGGGGGTTGTGATGCACAAACAGCTTGATCGGGACAATAATGACTATTGATACCTTTTTATTTCGGACATTAATTACAATTTCATTCATATTTAATTAAAAAAATATTAAGTTAGGTAAACTACTCTGATTAAAATAGCCCTAAAATCGAAATGTCCCCCCAGCCCCCCAACAAAGAAACTGTATAGCTGCATTAAAAAAATCTCTTGATGAATAATTTTTTTTAGAGAGAGAAGCGAATGCGTTTAGTCACCAGGGGAAAGGGAGGCTGGGTCCTCCGCGGAAATGTTTGCATCGGCCGACTGGTCCGTGGGATAAAAAACAAAAATAGAGAAACACCGCTCAAGACTAAGGGAGACCTACAGCTTCATGTCCTACGGGCCTCAGCAGCATGAGGCCGACTACCCCTTCGAATATGGTCCCCAACGTGAAATTTCCCAGATTATGTCTCACCGGCTGGCTGACTGGCATCGTCGTCGCACTATATTCAGACCTGATCGGGGACATTTTCGAACTTACACGACCGCGGCTCGAATTTCTGCGTGCACTAGGTAGAAATTTCTGTCGCTCAAAGGGGTGACAGAGAGGATTGACTGAGCTGCGCGTTCATGCGACCCTTCCCCCCGCCCTCCCATGCGGGTAAGTATCTTTGAAAGGTCTTCTTCAACACCTAGGGCAAAGGGACTATTTTGTACTTCAAGTGGTAATTCAGCATTTTTGGGTTTATATGATGAACAGGTTTGAAAGTGCAAAATTCCCTATGGTTTCCCTTTTGTTCAAAATGGGCACCTTTAGCATCATTTTTCTCAAAAACTGCAAGGTTGTGTGCGGAGAACTTTTTCCTAAGGAATCTCTATTTATTTCTGATGTTAAATATGAAAAAAAAGTAGGTAGTGCCCCACTTGGTGGAACGAAACCCTATTTCTAGGCCTCTTTTAGCCTACCGACAGCGGCCTAGACCGGTGCATTCGCCGCTGCCATAAAATGTGAAAGTGCCACGCAGCGGCCACGAGGTGGCGGCCCTACATCTCCGTGAGGCTTTCAAAGTTCAAACCAACCCCGAGCGTGCACATGCAGCCCTGTGCCCAAGGGACCCAACCCAACCCATCCCTGGCGCGTTTGGCATACGGGTTGACGTGGCTCTTGCGTGACTTTATTCGCGACATTTAATACCTTGTTACACAAGGAGCGCTTAGTAAGCAGATGCGTTCACGTGATTCTCTGTACGTGTTTATTCAAGACTCCAGCCGCTGGAACGGAGAAACAGAACCGAATGTTTACCGCTGCATGTTCGGATTCATGGAGCGCAGCCAAC